TGAAAATAAACGGTTCTTATAACTTATTATAAGATGCACTATTTTTAAGACTTGAAATTCTGTTTTTTCGTTATATCCATAAATCTTGAGGTCGAGATAATCAATTGGATGGTTTTACAACTTTGGAACACTGATATTTGCGGTGTACTTTACTTTTATAGTAAAAGATAGCAAACTTATAGAAACTTTTCCAAAATCAATTTCCAAAAAAAAAAAGGATATGTACATGTCAATGCATATTAGGTGAGAGTTTATACTTCTCAATTAAAAAAATCTGTTATGTAATTGATGTCAATAATATTACTAATGTTTTTCTTATATAAGTGTTTTGAAACTCTGCCGAGTCCACTCAGGTTCAACCAAGTTACTCGTATTTACTCCCTTGGCAAGTCGAGTTACCTTGAGTTACTTGGTGCAACTTGGGATATATTAAAAAAGAAGACATTTCTAAAAACATTATAAAAATATGATATTGATGTACAAATTTTTTTATATATAATTTGGATATTATTGACAAAGATTCGTGAGTTTTTTTTTTTTTTGCTATATGCCCTATTTTTATACTCTTTTTGGATATTTAAAATTTCCTCAACTACAAATCAAATTTTATTAAAACCATATTTTATATAAAAAAAATTAAGATAAATTGTCACCTTCTAGCTTGTTTTTTATTCGATTTGATCCTTATTATTTTATTTAATTTTTAATATTTCTTGCATTTTTTCTTTTTAAAATTTTCAATGATTTTTGGCCCTGCCCAAATAACTCGCCTCATATGCATCCGTATGCGTCTTCCTGTGCTTTTTTTTTTCCCCTCGAACACGTTTTCTGTGCGGGCAGCCGCATTCCCATATGAGAGCTGCACCATCCAACTCAGTAAGACGGTAGAGGTCGTGGGGCCACGGTGGAATCTACATGGTTCAACTAATAGATTTCATCGACGCGACGCATGCTCGAATCAATGGACATCATATTTTTCATTTTTTTTTTTTTTAAAGAACTGGTATGCTTTTTCTTATTATTATTAATTTTCCAAATTGTTATATTTTAAGAAGATCGTATATAATGAGACCATTTACTTTTTATACAAAGATGTCTCAATTACTTACAATCGTTCGATATGAAATCTAATAGCTTGGGTGTGTCACCGAATTCGAGAAATTTACTTATGAAGTTTGATATGGATCAATGTAGTACATGCAACCCTTTAATTTTACATCCCATGGTCGAGATTAATTGCGAAGATCTTGTACCAAAGATAACTAGTTTCATTGTATATTTTTTCTATTTTAAAGTGAGTTCATATTTATAGTCTGTCGGATCAATGCACGGGCTTTCACGTTTTTTTTGTGTAAATTCTTGTATGTTAGTGTCAGCCTTCATTCCCACCGTTAATATATCAACAAAAGAAAAATGTTAGCACATATTTATTTTTGTAACTTGAATTTTCCTAAAAAGACATGTCTCATGGTTTTCTATTTTTTTTTTGACAAATGCTATTAGTTATTATTAATGATTAAAAAATCAGTTACATCACTCACTCATTACATCATTTAAAATAAAAAAGGACTTCATAGCCACATGTCTTTTAGCCAAACCATCAGCAAGACTATTCGATTCTCTATAGACGTGATGGAATGATAAAAATAACTCTCCTTCCAGTTTCACCAATTGGACCCAAATCGAATATAACAATCAAGGAACTCGTTGATCTTTGTTGCACTACCTAATCATATTTTGGGAGTTACCTTCGACTACAATATCATGACCCAAATTCATGGCTTTAATAAGGAGTAATCCTTTGATCAAGGCACTAAACTCTGCCATGTTGGTTGTGGTAATTCCGATAGGTCCAGCATAGGCAATAACAATATATCCATTCCAATCACGTACCACACCTCCTATCCCTGCATTTTCCGGTTTACTGAGGGAGCTGCCATCAAAGTTTAGCCTTAACCAGCCTTGTAGCGGAGGCATCCAACAACCAACTGGTATAGTCTTTACCCTCTTAAAGACTATCAGATGGGCTAAATTAATTCACACATCAATCTCACTAATACCTCTCCTTTCCTCCATGACAGACAGCCAACACCAAATCATATGAAAAATACGCTGAATTAGACAATCACATGATAGACCAACTCCTTCAAAAGTATGCCCATTCCGTTCTTTCCACACCTCCCAGCATACGCTCCATTCACTATTTTCCAGACCCTTGCCCCCAATTTTGGTAAACCCAAAAAGGCCAGCTGAGAAATGATGCCCAAAACCCTTTGAGGAAGAGCCGTAATTAAACCTAAAATCCCAAAGAATTGGTTCCAAATGTATGTTGCATATCGATAATGGATTAGCAAATGCAAGTTTGACTCCCCATCCTCCTTACACATAAGGCAGACATTTGGCAACATTTTTCCTCTTTTAGTGAGATTATCCACAGTCAAAACTTTATTTTGCCTTGCCAACCAAATAAAGCAATGAACTTTGTGGGGAATAGGCCACTTCCATATTTGTGAAATTTGAGACAATGACCTTCTATGACGATCGTGAAACAAGAGATAATACATTCCTTTAACCGAAAAGACGCCATCTTTACTATGCTCCCAAATCACTTCATCTTCAATAGAATCCCACAGTACCACCTCCTGTAGAGATAAAAATAAACTCAAAACCTGTTCTATAAACTCATTACATCTATTATAAGGAAACTGGACATTCCATGCCACTTGCCCTCCAACAAATTGATAAGATTCATATAACAAAGCATTTGGAAAATAGACCTTTGCAAACAGATCAGGGAAAGTAGACTTCAAAGGCTTATCCCCTAACCATTTTGTATGCCAAAAAGACACTTTAGCATCATTCCCCACATACCACCTAATATTTCTATGCAAGTATGTTTTGAACAAGAAAATATCTTTACAAAAAAATCGATTTAGATGCACTCCTTCTGCCACCTCCAATCCACACTCCAAATTTGTCACTACCATATTTCTCAAGTAGGACTTTACACCAAAGCTGATCCTTACACAACAAATTCTGCCACCACTACTTCATTAGCAAGGCTTCATCCAAGACCTCCTTTACTTTTAGGGGTATACACTCTATCCCATCTCAACAAATGATATTTCCTATTCTTTTCAGAAGACCCCCATAGAAAACACAACATCATCTTCTCAATTTTCTTAACAATACCTGTTGGCATCTTCAACAGAGACATTAAGCAAGATTTAACCAAAGTCACTCTTCCCCCTAGTGATAATATTTTGGCTTCTATAGATCCAGTTTAGTCTGAGTTCATTGAATCACTCTATCCCATACTGAAATAGGAAACTTAGAATCATAAATTAGGAGTCCCAGATAAGTCATGGGAAATTTGTCCACTTGCTTCCAAGCAACAATACAAGTTCCTATGTCAGCGCACTATTGCAAGTAACACCCACCATTGATGTTTTTGCAATGTTCACTTTTAAACCTACTGCCACCTCACAACACCTTAGAAACCTGCCTAGAAATTCAATTTACTCCTTCTTTGCGTCTGTGAAAATTAATGTATCATCTGTATATTGTAGATGAGAAATATAAAGACCATTCTGCCCCACCTGGAAACCAACGAAATTACTCTTGTTTACAACATTAAATATTATCAAGCTAAAACATTTCGCATAAATGGTGAATAAAAACAGCGATAATGGGTTTCCTTAACGAAGGCCTCTTAAGGATTTAAAAAAGCTTTTGGGGCAACCATCAATAATGGGTCTCATAGTTTTCTACATGGCTTTTACAACACCAACTATCGGATTTCAATAGCATGGGGCTTTGGTGTGTGATTCCTCCATTAAATGACCCTCATAAAAGTCGGCAGACAAACTTTGAGAAGAGGAATGGCTGACCCCATCGTGCCATTTGTTTGTATATGACAAATAGGCAATGTTGAAGAAGTAAAGTTAACGAACTGTAGGAAACTTCATGTAGTGGCCCGTGAATAAATTTCTTTTAAGTATACGTTTAGTTTGGGAATGAGTTCTAGGTAGTCAGGGTGGCAGGGCAGTACAACATGACGTCTTAAGTTTCATTTATACCGTGATTAGAAGATACATTCCTCGTCGATCTGCCTATTAAAAAAAAAAACAATGGCCTTAATGCTAGGTGGTCAGGATGATGGGGTGAGACAACATGATATATTGAGTTTCATTCCTACCAGGGACAATTGAGTCTTTCCGAATATAGATTTTAGTACTTTTAGGGGTGGAAAATGGACCCAGACCAAACCCAGAACTCAAGGGGTATACCCGATCTGGGTCCGAATATGGGTCAAAAAATTGGACCCACGCGAGTCGGGATAGGGTCCAAATCTTGGACCCAAACACTATTCAGGTCTACGTCCGGGTCCAAATTCGATTGGTTGGGTCTAGGTCCAGGTCCAGGTTCGGTAATATTTTTCGGATCCCAATATATGAAATATATTTAAATGTAATTGAACACATAGATATTTTATTTTTATGATCGGGTCGGGGTCCGGGTCCGGCCAGATCAGGACCCGACCCAAACCGTTACCACCCCTAAGTGCTTTCCAATTCCAATTATATTTGTTCATCATCTACCAAACCAAAAAGAGAAAGAGAAGGATGAATATAAATTTGCAGGTGTGGATGGGGTGCAACAAAGAACACTTGGGCTTGGTAGCACACCCATCATAGTCTTGGGGAAAATAGAATGGACTCATTCACTGTTCACAAAAAAAGAAAATAAATGGTTACTAGAATTTCAAAATAGAAGCTGGAAACCCAAGCCACAGTAAAACTGCTTACTGGTATTAGAAAGTGTGTTCACTTTATCTTTTGGCCCACCCCTTAAGCCATGTGAAAGTCACACAAGAATAGACTTTTAGTGGCTCCACTATTTGAACATCAACTAAGGTGCTGCCGTGGAGGAGAGGGAGTTGGGGACGTACAAAACCATCATCAAAACCCACATGCATAGATGCCATATCCAATCTTACATCTCATCTACCTCCATTCACATCACAAGGAGGGAGGCACAACCACAAATACTAAATCACAGTCCTTTTCTTTAAATGTAGAATGCATTCTATTCCTTCCTCTTCTATGGCTTCCTCTTCCACCTTTCACAACATGAGAAGTTCTTGCAGCTATGAAATTGAGCCAATGAGAGTAGGACTGCTGTTTCAAGCTCTACTGCTCTTTCTTCTTAACTTCTTCAATTCTACAAACTCTGATAATTTTGGGTTCACTTTCTCAGGCTTCCATAGGTCAAATTTGAGCTTGAATGGTGATGCAGAGATAATACAGAGTGGAGCACTACAATTGACAGACAATTCTCTTCAAGTAATTGGGCATGCTTTCTATCCTCACCCTATAAGGTTCAAGAACACCTCATCAGGCAAGGTTTCTTCTTTCTCCACTTATTTTGTGTTTGCCATTACTGGGCCGATCTTCACCCCTGCTGCAGGCCTCGCTTTTGTGATTTCCCCTTCGACCCAGTTTCCAGGAGCCAGGTATGCCCAATATTTTGGCCTCTTTTATAAATCAAGCAATGGCGACCCTCAAAACCATGTCTTTGCAGTAGAATTCGACACAGTTCAAAATGTGGAGTTCGATGACAAGAACGGCCAACATGTAGGTATTGATCTTAATAGCTTGACATCCAATGCGTCTGAGCTTTCAGCTTATTACACAGAAGAAGGTCATAACACACTTAAACATGCATTGGATCTCACAAGTGAAGAGCCAATTCAAGCATGGATAGAGTATGATGGAGTGGAGAAGTTGCTCAATGTGACGTTATCTCCTCTAGTGATAATTGGAAGAAATGGTCGAGATTGATCTCACTATGATCCTGCAAGAGTTCATGTATGTGGGTTTCTCTTCTAGCACGGGAAATTGGTCCAGCTGCCATTACATTCTAGGCTGGAGCTCCAGAATGAATGACAGACCTCAAGATTTAGATCTCCGTCTTCTTCCTTCATATCCCAAGACTAGTAAATCATCAACAAGGCTTTAACTCAATTCCTTGTAGGACAACCATAAGGGGGTTCTCATACAAGGAGCTCGATAAGGGGACAAAGAGCTCATAGGCATCGGAGGCTTTGGCAAGCTTTACAAAGGAGTGTTGCAAACCTCAGGCTTACAAGTTGCAGTGAAGAGACTTGCAAACGAATCAGATCAAAGGCTGAAAGAATTTTTAACTGAGATCTCCAGCATAGGGAAACTGCGCCATAGGAATCTAGTGCAACTCCATGGATGGTGCAAACAAAACGGTGAGTTCCTCATAGTCTATGACTACATGCCAAATGGAAGCCTAGACAAGCTCCTGTTTGATGTTACTGGCCCAATTTTGAGGTGGGAGCAACGACACAACATCCTCGAGGGCGTGGCTTCCGCATTAGTATACCTTCATGAACAGTGGGAACAAGTAATTATACATAGAGATGTGAAAGCCAGCAACGTATTATTAGACGCAGATATGAATGGAAGGTTAGGGGACTTTGGCCTTGCTAGGCTATATGAGCATGGTGACACTTCACAAACAACTCGAGTGGTTGGGACATTAGGTTACATGGCACCAGAGCTTGCTCGAATCGGAAGAGCCACGACTGAGTCAGATGTCTTCTCATATGGCGCACTTTTGTTAGAGGTGGCGTGTGGTCGTAAGCCTATTGAGGTGCAAAGCTCTCCTCAGAAACTTGTGCTTGTTGATTGGGTTTGGAAATGCTTCAAGGCAGGAAGGATCTTGGATGTGTGTGATCCTAGGCTTGGTGGTTGCTATGTGGTAGAGGAGATGGTAATGGTGCTCAAGTTGGGCTTGTTGTGCTCACACCCATTGCCTAGTTCTAGGCCAACCATGAGGCAGGTTTTGCAATATTTAGGTGGAGACACTACCTTTCCTGACCCTTCTCCTAATGATATGGTGGTGAGAAGCAAAGAAATTGATGATGACTATTTTTACTCAAATCTTTCTTTCCATGATGAGTTCTCTGCTAGTTCATCTGCATGTGCTGAAATTCTACTATCTGGTGGCCGTTGATGCATCATATTCAATCCACACTATTTGCTGCCTCTTCCTTGTCCTATACTTTCTTTTTTTTTCCTTTTTTCCCCCTTTTGTTGGTTGTGGTTGAAATATCCACTAGTTTTATTACTTAGTTCATAAGAAGGATTGTCCTTGTTGTTCAATTTTTATGTAGCAATGAATGGACCATTGGCATCGATTGTTTGAATACGTAGGACTTAGGCATTGATGAGTATACTATTTAACTATTGAAATCAACATTGTTTGTGTCTCAATTTGAGCTTAATAAGTCTAAAATTCGATTGTAATACTTCAGTATAAAAATAAAATTGTGAGTGATCTCATTTTGCGGGGTCTCTGCAATTGCAGTCCTTCCTGTAATATGGCAGAGTGGCCTGAAGTTATTCGAAGTTACATTCGAATTAAAGAAGCTACTTATGTCAAATTGTTTAAAGGTAAGGTATGTATATATCCATTAGTGATGGCTTCATATACAACATCCAACTTGCTAATTTTCCTTATTTAAATTATCATTAGAGTCTTTTCTCAACTATTTGGGATCCGTTCATTTTCTTTACTATAAATTATATATATTCTAATTCTTGTAATGAGGGTACTAACAAACAACTTATGTCAGGAATATACAACATATGGAGGAAATTTTGAGAACGATAATTCTATATGTAATTTATTGTAATCGTCATACTGCCTGATGTTAAACTGCATGGCATACAATCAATGATGTATGATCTCAAATTAGTCACATAAGCTCGCAGATATGTGTGACGAACTGTGTTAAATACTAGGTCCTAAAAGAAGATTGAAATGCCAAAGTCATAAGGTCAGTTGACTTCATGTAACTCACATATGTATACTGTCAATCACATCTGGCTAAAGTACGTGGTGCTCCTCAATATATGAACCTAAACTGTACATCATAGCCCTCACATAAAAGGCGCCCTACAAACATGCACAAATCTCATTAAGATTTATGATTTTATATTTTCTATATGTTTATGCATTTTGCATGTATCAAGTCCAAGCTAAATATGTGAATGATATAGCATCCTTGCCACCTGATGTTAAACTACATGGTTTGTGATTCTTGCCACATGAGAATATAAACTGACGATATGTTACGGGGGTACCACTTAATATGAGAAAAGCTTAGTCAGGTTTTTTTTTAAATAACATATGTATCATTCTTGATGCATGACGTTAAATTGCTTGACACATAGTACTTATCCTAGGGCCCAATACGATGTATAGGCCCTAACTTATTGTAGGGCCCAATATGATGTATAGGCCCTAAGTTGAAAGTAACTAATAAATATGCACCAGAGCTTGATAGGTTCTGTTGTGGATTTTCTTTCATGGTCTTTTTGCATTTAGGCATGTCACCATGGGCAACACGTAAGCCTTTGATTAAAGTAAGGTGCACCTCAATACTATGCCGAAAATGCAGTTGCAATACCACAAAGCCTTGCGATGATATGGGATGATATGGAAATATATCGTTGCCCCCCAATTATGCAATTTAAAGTACTAGAAATGGCGACAATCAAACAGACCTATAAACATTTGAAAATCTTGAAAATGGACGGTCCAGATAATTTTTTAGAAGATAAACTAGTTTTTAGGGCTAGAAATCCTTTTGTTTTAATGTCTATGAATCTCGAAGTCAAGATGATCAATTTCTCTAATGTGTTTTTTTGGTGTCTAATGGGTTTTTTAGGTGCGCCTTCTTGTACAGTATAAGGTTGACCCCTTATATAAACTTTTCCTTGATTAAATATCTGGTCCATGCCGTATGACTATTAAATTGCTCAGCATAGGCTACCCGATACGTGAGCCTAACAATACTCTATCCATCTGAAGGATTAAGGGACAATTTCATGCAAAAGGCTTTGTAGCAGTAATGAATCCAGAACTTTTATTTGGTAGGCATTGAGATCTAGATCTTTAAAAACACAAAATTAACTTCTTTTTTTTTTGTTCTTTTTAGGTTTGTCCATCTACTGTCTATAGTTTTTAAATTTTAATAATTTTTTATAAATCATATTTATCTAAAATTTGAAGCTTGTGAACATTTAGTTAGCTCTCAAAAAAATATAATATTAAAAATAGTATGATAAATACAATGGAAAATACCTTTAAAAGTTTATAGGGGTATTTTGGTAATTTTTGTATTCAAATTATTTTTTAAATATTTTATTCAGTTGCGCCTTATTAAGGCACAGATACCCACAAAATTATAAGTCAATCTGATTTATTAAAAATAATTAAAATTTAATTACTATCAGACAATCATTTGATTATGATTTAATAGGGGGTAATTAGTAAGGTTGAGGCTTTATCCGATGACTCCCAACATTCTACAAAGCCATTAACTCCTAAAAAACAACGTGAAATGCTAAATGAAAAGAATTATTAAAAAAAAAAGTAGGATGATCACTTGCTCACCCCTTCCAATATCCAAATGAGACATTTAAGCCTCGCATAGGCATTTATTCTGGGGCATTAATGCCTCAAGACATTATAAACAAAAACTCACCCATTATCAGGGGAAAAACCAAAATGAATTTGCCAATCTAGCAAGAGATTGAAGACTAAGAAGGCTAAAAGTTATTCCGAGTGTGAAATTTAAGTTTCATCGAGCAATTCAAATGGGATTTGACAGCCATTATTGAAGAGATGTTGGATACTAACCAAGAACAAGGGTGATTAAAAGATAACCAATATTAAAACTTCCTTTCCGCCGGAAAAATTAAAGATAACCCAAGTTCCAACCTTCTCCTAGCACAATGTGCCGCAACATAAAGAAGCACCATCAATTCTAAACAATCACCAGGGAAAAAGGAAAAGAGAGAGTCCATGTTTGAGCAACGGAAAAGTCGTCAAAGAATTCAAAATCTAGAAGCCTCATTCATTCATCAATGCCAAAGTACGTGGGGACAAATTTTTAAAATAAAAAATAAAAAAAAATAAAAAATAAAAAATAAAAAGAAAAAAAGGAAAAAAATAAAAAATGGATTAAAAGTCAAGAGTAAACCTCTCTCAAAGAAAAAAAAAATCGAGAGGATGCGAGAAGCTCTAACTCAAAATAGGTGCGCCAATTCCATACAAAAGCCAAGGGGCGCTAGTCTGACAGATCATGGTCATGAAAGTCCCCAAGCAAACCTGAAGGATGTCAACCATTCGAGTTTCAAAGGGTCAGTGGTGGAGGAACAAGATTGGAAGTCTAAGGAAATCTCAAACACGAGAGACAATATCCCACATTTTCCAAACCTTGGTTCGTTTGAAGAATCTCAACGAATTTTTTTTTGGGTTGTGACACGAGGCCTAAGATTTGAAGAAAAAAAAGAGTGATTGATGATTCCTTGTCACGAAGGTACCAATAAAGTTAGGCAAGCTCATAAGGTCCGGGAAAAGGGTTACAAGAGATTAAACTGGAAGCCTGACAAGTTCTTAAAAATCTCTTTTAAACACTTTTAAAAAAATTCTTTTCTCCTTTTCAAGAAATTTTTTCAGAAAATGTTTTATTGTAGCATGAGCCTCAACTACTAACCAATTCATTTTTTCAGAGCACTCCCTCTTTTTTAAAGTTTCAAATCTTATATGTTATGGTTTGAAAAACATTAATTTCTAGGTCCAAGCGCCTGATTTTATTTTCAAAAAAAAAAAACTCTCTATTTTCAAAATTGCTAAAATGTTTTCCAAAATGAAGGATTTTTATAGCTCGTACATGACGTAACTTTCCACCTTCTCTAAAATTTTGAAAAATGAGCTGAAAATCAGTATGAGACCTCCTTGTTTTGGAAAATTCCCAGTGAAAATCCATATATCCTAAAACCTTATTCCAATGAATTTCAAAAAGGCCTAGAATTAAGGGTGAAAGAAAAAAGAAATTCAATTGGCCAAATTTTCATCATTATCTTGGTTTCTAAATCATTTCCAATTCAATTGGAAATTGATACCCCAAAAATAAGGGTTTAAGTGAAGATGTTTGCCCGTAGTTCCAGGAAGCTTCATCAAGGTGCCTCAACAAATTATAATCGTTCCAAAATTAGCTTGGTTCATGGTATTGTCCTATAGGTCCTCGAATTTCGGAGACCTCTCAACTAACTATAACTGTCCCAAAATCAGCGTAGTTACAGTTGAGGTCTTCCAAATCTTTTCCATTGGCATCCCACATTTTCCTAAGGTGTTAGGCATTTAAATGAATGTCTTTACTTTTTCATCTGTCTCGAGTGTCTACTTATTTTCCATTCACCTGTTATTCGAGGTGAACACCAAAGAGATACAACTATAGACACCCATTGAAATTTTGGATAAGCGAAGTCCCTAAATCCTGTAACCCTATACCCTGATCACCTTCTTAAATTTAAAACCCAAATTTTAAACCTACTAATATCCTAAACTAGTCATCCTAGGCACTCATGGGCATAATAAACATAGTAGGCTAACCCGAGCACTAATCCGATACCAAGAAAACTAAAAAGTGATACCCTAAAATCGTAGCCTTTTATAGCCCCTTAAAACTCACTCAAATCGAATCAAGCTCGATTCAAAATGTAAGAGAGGTCGTAATCTTTCCAAAGGTCTAAGAATCACCCAAATTTGATATATGGTTTGAAAATTATGGTCTGGACAAATTTATTCTAAGAAATTCCATTTTGATCCGTATACACAACTTAGTGATGTAGCTAGAACTTTCAAGAAGTTTTTGGGGTATTTTGAGCCGGTTCTTGAATGCGTTTGACTAGTCAAAAACCCAAATATTCAAAAGAATATTTCTTAAAAAATGCCTAGAACTCAAACCTATAAAAAACCTCTAACTCTCCATAGAAAAGTCATAAAAAAAATACTCAAGAAAGCTTAAAATAACATAAAACCCCTAACTCTCCATAAAAAATCATAAAAAAAAAACTTTAAAAAATCCTAAAATAACCTAAAACCCCTAGATTATCATAGACAAAATGCCTAGAAAACCATAGAAAAATACCTAGAAAATTAGAAAAACATATCATAAAAAACTCTTAGAAAAATCCTTTAGAAATTAGGAGCGTAAAAACATTAGAAATTCCTTGAAAATTCCCAAAAAATCCCTTACATTATGAAGAAATAATCCTAAATCCAACTGAGAACCCCTTTCAAGTTAATTCATCAACAAAAAAAAAGAAAAAACACAAATCAACCAGATACGGGTCCTAATTCTAGGTTATTCCATGTAACTTTTTTTTTTCGTTATGTCTTAGTTAATCTGATCCTTTGTTTCCTTTTTATTCATTTCGTGTTTTTTGGTTTATTTTTCTAGGTTTTTACGTGACTTCAACGCAGCGCTACCAGTAGAGGGTTGATCTTTTGTGAATCGACAATATCTTTGAACCGTATTCTGATAAACCCTCTGAAGAGAGAGAGAATTATTGGCGTTTGGACCTTACATGTTGGTGGGATTTGTAGATCGCATCAACCTTAATCAATTAAGGTGCTCTCTAAACCGTGTCGGAATATCGAGTACAAGGAAACCCTAGTCTGTTCTGAAATTTATTTTCCATCTCCAATTGTCATTGAAAACTCCATAAGTGGTTCAGATTAAGCAAATTTATGAACTCGGAAATATTGGCGACAGATAATCTAAATAATGTGTCACAAAAATATGTATTATAGGATTTGGATAATTTTTCTTTCATATCTCGAGATATAGATGATCAATTGGAAGGCTTTAAATGACATTTTTTGTGTAGTTTTTGGGGTATATAAACAGGCTAGACTTATGTGTCTTTCGGCCAAATTCTGGATACACGCTGAGTATTAACATTCTTTTGGAGCGAGAAGAACGACAGTATGGAAAAACAACAAAAGAAAGAAGAAAGAACAAAGAACATAATTTAATTATCTTATTAATTGAATTCTTCACCGATCTATCAGGATCGGAGTTTATATGTATATATAAAAGTAGATGGAGGAATATGTATCATGATCTAGACTACTATAGTATACGGTTGATGCTTTATATAACGGGTGCGGGTTGTATAGAGCCGAGGCTCTAAACAATCAAATTAGAGCCCACCTACAAATACTGTTGAGAAATATGGTTTTAATACAGGAATGTTTTGTGATAGCCTTAAATTAAATTTTCATCATTAATTATAAAATTTAAAGCTTAAAAAATAGTGTAGATCGAGTAGATCTATGAAAGCTTAAAAATCTTGAAAATTGACAGTAAAAAAATGCGTTACATGCAATATTTCCAAAACTTAAAATCTATTTATTTCTTATGTCCATGCATCTTGATGTCGAGATGATCAATTTGAAGATATTTGGGCATCAAAACAACCTCTTCTAGGAGGTAGGCTCAAATTTGATTGTCTAGAGCCTCGGCTCTATATAAACTTTTTCCTTTTATTATGTACAGGGAAAAGTTTATATAGAGCCTAGGCTCTAGACAATCAAATTAGAGCCTATATCAAAATTTTCACTAGAAGAGGTTGTTTTGATGCCCAAATATTATCAAATTGATCATCCCGACCTCAAGATGCATGGACATAGGAAAAAAATGGATTTCAAGTTTTGGAAATAGTGTATTTTGTAATGTATTTTAAGACAGTTAATTTTCAAAATTTTCAAGTTTTCATTGAAATGTTGATCTAACTTATTTTTTAAGCTTTGAACTTTATAAATAAATATAAAATTTTATTTTATGGTTATCACAAAGATTTTCAATAGTAAAACTACACTTCTCGATACTATTTGAAGGTAGGCTCTAATTTGATTGTTTAGAGCCTAGGCTCTATACAAACCGCACCCTTACATAAATTCCTCTACATATTAGGTTTTACTATATTTAGTTCTAGTTAGAAGCTTGCCGCTATTGACTGTGATTGAAATTAGTTGCTTCTGAGGTATATAATTAGAAAATTATTCGATAATATGCTCTGGTTTATAAAAAGAAAATAGTGTCTCGCAACTGTCAATGGATTTTGAACTTTCACATGCTGAGATTTGGTTTTGAAATATTCTTTCAACAACTATAGAATCCATTGTAACTAACAAAAATCATGGCAAAGAAAATGTTTGATGTTATTTTTCAAAGAAACAATGTCACTTTTAAGGTTTTGGTTTGGAAACATGATTTTGTATCAGTAGTGGGAATGGAAACCCAGTAGCTAAGACTCAGGTAGTGTTACCTCCACGATCACCACCCATGCTTTTCTCTGACTGACTGCTCATTCTCTGTTTGCCCATTTAACAAACGAGATTGATTTGATTCAAATTATGTCCTCTCTCTCTCTCTCTCTTTCTCTCTCTCTCTCTCCCGGGTGTGTTTTTTTCTTCTTTTTTTTTCTTTTTTTTTTTTTTTTGACATTTTGAAAACCATTCTCTTTAACTAGAGGTACTCTTCTAAGCAGCCTGTCTCACTTTTGAGGCTATTACAGGTGCAATAAAAAGTGGATTTTGAGTATTTTAAGGTTGGATTCTCAATTAGAAAGTGTAGAGTGGGGTGTGAAATGCTCTTCTAGGCAAGAAAACATTGGCGGAGGCTCTTCCAAATACAAAGTCCTAATTTATTCCAATAAATGTACACCAACTAATACAAAATGATCCTTAAAAAACACACCCTCTCATAGAAGTTCTAATTTTGTCATTTACAGATGACAACAACTACATGTACCAAAAGTTATTTACCTTATAGGAGACACACACATACACAAGAAAGACAAAAAGACAAGTAAAAAAATGATATAGGTAAACTTTTGGCCATGCAAATTCTAGATGAGCAAGAGGTATATAATTTCAAGACTATGCAAATTATTTGACTGTTAGTGGTTAGTTGTGATACCCTTGCACCCCTCCTTATGAACCTATAAGCTTCAAATTTGCAGGACTTATGAATTTTGATCGTATACACTCATTAAAGAGAAAAGCTAGAAGAATTTTGATTGTATACACTTATTAAAAGAGAAAAGAAAGAAGAATAACAAAGAGAGAGTTTATTTTGAAACAGGTAGCGTATCAACGCCCTCCAGAGAGGAAATATTCAGTGACCATAGAAGAGCTCATAGGGCTCTCCTCATTTGAAGAACTAAGGACTTGAAAGTAGTCATGAGTTT